AGCGCAAAATACGACAGTTATTATTGTTGCTGGGATTGCTGCAGAGCCGCTGATCGTCGCGGCGCAATCAATTAATTGACAAAGCACATTGATCGAGAGACGAAGATTTAACACAGATGAATCCTCCGCCCGAAACCGATCAACTTTTTATAGCAGCATCAAGCTTAGAGTCTGTGTAGACTGTCGACTGTAGACAGTGTCTGCTGCTGCGGCTGCTGCTGCTGCGGCTGCTGCTGTTGTAAGTAATTGAAAAATAAAAGAAAATGCGCGAAAATCGCAACGCATTAGCCAACATCATGCAAGGGGCCGAAGCGTGCGAACAATTTGGCCGTCGATTCGTTGCGCCTTTTGGCCAAGAACCGCTCTGAGCCAAGCGAATACACCGACACACACATACATGCATAGTCTGTGAAGTACCAGCAGACCTGCCGCGATTCTTAGCGATTCTCATTCGTTCGTCCATTTTAGCCATTTGCATTTTGCATTTAGAATTTTTTTGCAATTTGTATGCGTGCAGCGTGCAGCGTGGAGTGCGGCATGAAATACGCTTTGCCCATTTGGCGCCTCGCACAGACACCTGAGACGACGTCGCTGGTCGTCTATGGAGTGACTGGCCCCTGGCCGGTATAGACGCTGCACGATTCACCAAATGAAAATATAAACTTTAAATTTCCTTATTAAATAACGGTCGCCAAAGCGGTATGCACAAGAAATACATTCTATGTATGCGTATACATATATCATAGGCATTAGCATTAGCATTGAAGCACATGGAAAACTGAACTCACTCATGGAAATCTCTCTATCTCCTTTAGCTGGAGAAACAAGCGTTGAAGCAGGTGCTTTCCACATGGCGTTACTCTTGGTTTTGCTTTTGGTTTATCTTCGTTTGTCTGGGGTCGCCCGATCACTGAGAAACTATTGGGAATTGTTTGATTGCCAACGAGTCATAGCTCAAACGTGTATTCAAATAAATCAGTCAACGCGAATTTAATACTCTAAAACTAATCCCCAAGTCCGAGCTTGATCGTTTAGTCGCTTAGTAAACTTGTTTTGCGTATTTATCTATTTGCTTATTGGACAAATATGTTTATGTTCTCATTACAAAAGCAATCAAAATATTAACACCACAATGACTCTCTTGAGGATTATTCTTATAATTTAAGGAGTATTTACATATCCAAGGTACAATTTGTAGTACTGCTTGGGCGTCAATTCTGTGGTAGTTACAATATAATCACTTAAGTCTTACTATATTGACTTATTGTGGTTGATTTCGCTGCTTCCCTTGACTATTTAAACAAATACCTAATGCATAATGTAACAGTCGATGTGTGCACAAGCACCTTTCTTGCATATTCAGATTAGTCGACAGTTTGCTGCAAGTCAATGCCTTTGACTAACTTTGACAACACACACACACATAAAAAAATCCAGGTGCAGTGTTGTTATTTGCATGAGAAATGTGTCGTGAGCAACGTGGAGTTAAGCAAGTGCGAAAGCGACAACTGACAGGGGACAACGGACAACGGACATCGGACAGTGGACAGTGAACAGTGAACAGTGAACAGTGGACAGTGGACAGTAAAGCCAACATCAGCCACAATGTCAGCATCAGCATCAACATCAGCATCCGAGGTTTGTAGAAATGGCTGCACTCTGGAGGCAGTCAACCGCATCATCAGCTCATCATCGATCACGGCGGCTCTGTGGTCCGCAACAAGAGAGAGAGGCTGCTAATGCCAATGGCCTGCAGCCAAGTGCATTAGAGAATCACCCGATCCCTCTATGCTCCTCTCTGTTTACAGTCTCTCTCCCTCCCTGCCTCTCTCTCTCACTGTCTCTCTCTCTCTCTCTCTCTCTCTCTCTCTGCCTCTCTCTCTCTCTGTCTCTGTCTCACACTGTAACAGTAATTTGGTGTTTTACTTGTTCTTGCGCGCCAGCAATCACACCTATGGGAATGTTTCTTACACATGTCCGATGGCAATGGCAATGGCAATACCAATGCCAATGCAATGGGGCAACATCTAAAATTCCAGCATGCACTTTGAACAACATTTTCCTCAAGTCTCTCTGCCATCGTCGTCATCGTCGTCGTCGTCGTCGTCGCAGTTGCATCATTAAAAATTTATCAGTTGATTGGAAAATTATAATTCTTTGCTTTTACGCTTCGCGCAGCGTTATGATTTTTATACGTTTACCCCGTCTACCCCCATCACCCATCACTTCTTGCATCTCAAACGGAACTCAGCTCAGTCGATGTTGTCGTCTGAGCGCCAGTTATGTAATAACTTTTGCTCCGATCTTCACTCCACGGTTTCTGTTTGTCTTTCTGTTCTGCTCAGTTTAGTTTTTCTTTTCTTTTTTCTTTCTTTTGGTCACATTTAATAACTTACTGGACGACTGTAGACTGTCTATGCGTCTCTCAGTCAATCTGTCTAAATGAATGACTGACTTACTGACTATTACGAGCGATTCAGCATCCCCCAGCCCCACACCACCCAACCAGTCGCATCTCATCTCATCTACTGTTGGCTGCCTCTTTGTTTTGTTTTTTCTTCTTTTTTTTTATTTTTTTATATAGTTTTTGCCAGCTGCCAGCCTAGCTGTAGATGCGGAAATAAATGCGCTCGGTTTCTTCAACTTGTTACATAAATCGTAATTTTCTATAGCCTCGTTCTAAGTATATCTAATGTATATTGCATTCTGCTACCCGTTTTTCTATTTGCCCACTGACCACTTGCCGCGCCACTGGATTTCAGCTAACTGGTGGCAGTGTTGTCGTTTTGGTGGGATCACCCCAACATGCAGCGGGCTTATTAGCTTGCTAGCGGAGAAAAATGCTAGTGGAAAGACTTAAGGACGTATCCAACTATTTACACTAATATTCAAACGTTAAACATTTTGATATTGTTTCACAAAAAACAATCAAAAAAAAGTCAAGCTATTCACTTGATATATTAAGACGATTATTTTTTAATGTTTTTTAAATTTATTTATTTGTCAAAGACTCTTAGAGATTTGTTTTAGAGCGTTGGCAACACTGACTGGAGACTAGCTCGACCCTTCCCCACCACCCATTTTTTGACCTGGCAGCCAGGTGTACATAGCTCATAATCGCACATGTCATGGCCATTTCACTCGCACTTGAACTTCCTGCATGACCAGCGTTAGCTAAGAGTTCACAAGCTCGTCCAATGAACCACTGGCTCTGCTCTGCTCTGCTCTGCTCTGTTCTGCTCTGTTCGCCGGGGTGAAGTTCTGGGTGGGGTATGGCGGCTTGGTCATCGGTGATTTCCACGCTCATGATGTGATTAGGCGCTTTAGCGGTACAGTTCATCGTTTTTTCTTCTGCTTTTTCTAGGCCCCCTTCCTGCCTGCCGCCATTGGCTGCGCTGAAAAAGAAGCATCTAACAGATTAGTGAGAACCCAAAAGTACAGATTGACACAAACACACTGTGAGATTGCAGTTATCACTATACACTATACACTGAGAATATTAAGAAATATATAAATAATAAATTCAAGTTGTCTGTCTTCTCCAATTATTGTTAGAATCTATTTGGCCAAGTCAAGCTTCGAGCAAACTAGTCCTTGGTGCAGAGCAAACTTAACTCTTTGTTCTTCTTCAATTTTTAAAGATTTGCATGGGTATTGCATAAAAATTTAGCTTTTGATAGTATTTTATGCTTATAAGGTCCCACTGACGGTTGTCTCTGATCGGGTGTCAGTTTTTAAGAAAATTCAATAACAACATTCTTAAAATAAGTAGCTTAAATGATTACATTTATTTGTGTGTCAACTTTCATGGCATTCATTGAGATGTGATTTGCGACAAATTAAAGAGCGTTGAAAAAGCGTTTGCAAATGATGTTAAAGACAACTGTCGCTCAACACGAGACCCGCATATGTATACCCCTGTTCCGGGCGGCGAGCAATCCGAGCAACTTCGTTGGAACTGGCCGAGTTGCAATTCTGCTGGCAATGACTTTGTAGTTGGCCTGCGAAATTCCACAGTGTGACAGGGCGATCAGCACTTAAAAGCCTGTCAACAGTTGCACATCACCAAAAGCGAAACTGCGGCCAAAGGAGTAACACATTACATTTGGTATATACATACGCCCTAGCCCCGAAATCTTGAAAAGCAATTAGCAAGAGCCGAGTAAAGTAAGTTTCAAACCGCAACCGATGCCCAATTGCAATGCCACAAATACTTGCTAGATGGCAGCCAACAAGATTCTAACTCACAAAAAAAAAAAAAAATTAAAGAAAAAAATACAGGAGGCAGAGAGAAGCAACAGAAGCGGGACTTATCAGTGGCAGCAACGGCGACGGTGGCAGCAGAAAGCAATTCTGTGGCTGATGGTTTCGCAGAAAATTACAACTTGCGGGTAAACAAAGTCAACTGCCCCAGACATGGCAATAGCATGGCAGCAGCAGCATATGCAAAGAGGAGAAAGAAGCAGCAGCAGCAGCAGCAACAGCAGCAGCAGCGGCGGCAGCGGCAGCAGCAGCAGCAGCAGCAGAAGTCAGAGACGTGTAGACATGAACTCCACTCAAGTTGAGACACACGCCAAACCCCACGGGCCCGTGGCTGTGCATCTGAATGTGGCTGTGGCTGTGAATGTGAATGTGGGTGCGCAATTATGCCGCCACAGCAACTGACTAACCATAAATTTTCTTATCAGCCAAAGTCGGAGCACAGGAGCGCATTCACGGAAACGGAGACAAACGTTAAACTATTTTTAATGAAATGGTCAGAAGATACATATAAACAATTTCAAAATAAGGTAAGCATTAAAACGTTATTTGTTGAATTTAAACAATCTTAACTCAGAATCGAATTTCGCTTATTCTCAATTTAATAACAAAAGAATCTAAATTATACGAATCCGTTGGCAATTAGTAATACAGATTTGATTTTAAATTATGAATTCAAAAAAGCAACAAAGCAATCCCTAATTCAATATTGTTCACATGTCAAAAAGCTTAAAATTTGTAGTCACAAAAGAGAAAGATTTAGAAAAGAAAAACGTGGCAAGATGGCGAAAACATCTGATGATAATTCGCAGGATCAGATCATTGAGGGACTGGGAGATTGCAACTTGGTCCCCGTTGAACATATGGATTTGCTGAGTCATCGGACGCGATGCCGCAAAATTGAGATATTTCATTTTGATGACGAGGTCAGTTTTACACCCAACGACACCGATGTCGAGGAGGAGGAGGATCAGGGGCTGAGCTTCGCTCAGTTCACTGAGGATCACACAGACGATGTGGATCGTACAGTGCAGCTAGCTGGGGATGTGGATTGTCTGATACGACGCATCCAGCAAATGCAGTTGATCATTAAGCAGCGCAAACAGGATCAGCAACAACTTGACACGACTGAAGTATCTACTGAACAGCAGGAGGAGGAGGAGGTCATCAAGCAGCCACCAATACCGCAACTAGGGAAATTTCTGTTCCAGGAGTGTATGGAGCAAACCCTGGAAGAGACAAAGCTAGATATACTCAAGCGCGAGCTAAAAGCAGAGATGAAGCCGGACTCAAAGTTCAATTCACTTAGTTGCGATGAGCAGCTGGAGATACGCGATCTACGGCATGCCCATCATCGCCTCCAGTGCGAGATCGACGAGATGGTATGCAATGCTTGCACGATGCGCGAACTGCTGCTCAAGATTAGGAACCAGGTTGGCCAGGACAAAAAACGTTTGCTCAAGCTGGCGGCTATAGCCACCAAGCACCATGAGTGGAGCAATCTTATTTACAAGGAGCTGCCCGTCTGCAAACAGCGCTACCAATATCTGCTCGAGAAAAAGCTATCCAAATCGGAAGCGCATCGTCTGATCCACGCTCACATGGTCAAGGTGATCCATTACAACAAGAAGTTTCTTACCCGTCGAGAGTTGCGCTACGAGCTGCGCGAGTTCCACTTGGAGATCGATGAGCTCGAGAAGTATGTCAATGATCTGCGCCAGGACATGGTGCGACGCTTTAGCAGCATTGAGAATGAAACGTGAAACGTAAACACAGCCAGCTGACATACAGATCCAAATAAATATAATATATATATAATTGCTAATTGTAATGCATATAATAGTAATAGTAAGAATCCGAAGAGCTTCTATCGCAAATTCTTTCTGCTTTGGGCGCACAATTAGCCCGCGCTGCGCTCCTGCTGTGTGCTGCGGCTGCCGCTTAAAACTAAGACGCAAACAGCAAACCACCAGCAGAAGGTAGTACATCATTTTGGACTTTATCAGCAGCGGCAACAAGCAGCAGCAACGCGTGGGCAGCATCTAGCAAAATTCCTACGCCGCCAACGCTACACAAGAGCAGCAGCAGCAACTGAAACAGGCAACAGGCAGCAGAAGCAACAACTGCAATTGCAACTTAATTGAGGCTTGTCTATGCAACTGCTTTCAGTGTGTGTGTGTATTTGTGAGCCTAAACAAAGTAACTGCGGTTGCTCTGCATCCGTCTTAGTCTCTCTGTGTCTTTTTTTTTTTATTGTGTTGTCCATCTCTCTTCCGATGTATAATGCACTCCCCCTATATCAGTCAATTGCTGGGTCTGCGTGCTGGCGGGTTGCTGTCGCCCGTTGCGAACTTGATGCCTCGCTGCCCCAGTGCCTTGATGCTCCACAGACGAGCGACCAGACAACTGCAATGGCAATAAGAACAACAATAACAGCCGCATAATAACGTACTGAGGGCGTTGAGGCAACAACATGCAACAATCTGGCAAGTCAGGTAAGCAGGCAGGCAGCCAGGCAGCCAGCCAGCCAGCCAGCCAGCCAGCCAGCCAAGCAGCCAACCCAACCAACCAACTAACCAGTCAGGCAGTCATCCAGGCAGTCACCATCTAAGCTCTGCGGCTTATGCAGCTGCAAACAGCTACCTCCCCCCGCCTCCTCATTTTGCTTCTCTCCTCCCTTTTGATAAGCCTAACCCCCTCCTACCGCTCGTTCGTTAGCTGCTGCCATGGACAATTTAAGCTCATTCACTTGCCGCTGATTGCTGCTGGCGTTGGTGTTGTTGTTGTTGCAGTTGTTGCTGCTGCCTGTTGCTGCTGTTGGTGGTGGTATTGGTGTTGGTGTTTACTTCATTCGTCGTCTGGCAAATTCGCAAGTTCAAGTCCAAGTCCAAAGTCGTAGGGTGCACACTTTTCTCATTTCATATGACCTTTCAATACTCTTTCCGAACAATTTCCCAATATATAAATATGAAGCTTGCTTCAGCAAATGCTTGTCTTTTGCCTTTTCAATATATTTTAATCGCTAAACTTTTCTATAAAATCACTCCCAAAAGTCAATAATCGAGAATTTTTTCATGATTAAGAAGTTTTAGCAGTTTTGGTTTAAAATGTGAGCAGTTGCATTTGCAAGTGTGTGTTAACAATCGGTGTGCCACAAATAGTTCTTCTCGCTGGCTTCGTTCAGTTTTAAGCCATCGTCAAAATTGCATGCGCTGTGCGCATTCAGAGCAAGCACTGGGCAGGGTGGAGGCAGCTAGGAGGGGTTGGGGAGGGGTGTAGGGTCGCTGACTGCAATTTGCATTGCGCTGAGGCGTTTGTCAAATGGTAGCTGGCGCGTTGGCGCGGCTTTAATGCCACGCGAATGTGGGTTAAACTCAGCTTTAAGCCAGAAATAAAGCAACCGCTACAACAACAGCAGCAAGAAAACAATAATAATAAGGAGTTCAACCATATTTCGGCCAAGTGGCCCGAAGAGCAAAAAGACGCGCATTCATATCATTGTCTTATATCGCTCTATAATCTGTGTCATTAGATGCCACCAAATCAAATTGTAATTGTAGTCCATTAGATGATCGTATGCTCTATCTGACTGACTGACTGCCTTGCCTCTCTCTTACCTGGCTGGCGCCTTGGGGGAGTGGGTGGAGCGTCATTGAGACAGCATTATTCTGCTGAATTCGTCAAAGCCAAATCGTCAAACTGCAATGAAATCATCTGCTTAACCCATTTACTCTGTTCCATTCTGTTTTCCCAATACGAACTCCGAATTCATATTTGATATGTAAAACATGTTGAGTAACTGAAGTATTTACATACAGTCCTGATGCGTTTATGGGTAGCTGATTATCATTGTACCCTGCTCCCCATTAATTCAGAAAAACTTGGAAAACATTTGCTCTCTCTTTTTTTCTATTTCGGGCTATCATCTGTTGTTCGATCATCATCTCTCTCTGAATCTAATTGTTCTCTGTGTTTATCTTTCTTTGCTTTCGTTCTCATCCTAATTTTTTTTCGAATTTTATCTTTGTATCCTTCCTTGTTCTCTGCCGCTCTTTCCTTCTTCCTTAAACGTTCCTCTTAAACATTTGTATCACTTCTTGAACTTACGTTTAGTCAACTTTTTTTCAACTTATTCCTTAGTGTTAGACAAAATCGCACATTGGCTATAAATGGGTTAAGGCTGTAGAAAGAATTGAGCGGCTCTTATGAATTTTGTGAATCTTGCCGAAATCAGTAAAGTGGCGTATTGCATGTCAAATGCTCATTTGCTCAGCTGTTGCTCAACAATGTTGTTTAGCTGTCATTATGTAATGGCTACAACTAAAGGCGGCGACTGCAGTGGATCTCAGCGCACCTATTGCTATTATTGTTGCTTTTAGTTAGTTTTGGTCATGCACTCTTCATTTGTCTTCTGGCTGATGGGAATAAAAAAGTGTCCTGAGCTCATGCTCAACACACAACACCAATAATAACAAGAACATCAACGTTTACACACACACACACAGACACACAAAATGTATGGCAAGCGCCTTTTTTGTTGTTGTTGTTAATTTATTATGGTTACATCTAATTAAAACGGTTCTACAGTGCTGAAAGAGAAGCACGAGCAGCAGGCCAAGACTCGAAATGGCTTGACGTAATGAAGCTAAATGTTCCGCGCTATGGTCAATTGCTATTGCCCATAACACATGGATTCTTGAAAGATGATGCCTGGCTGACTTTAGTTCTCCTCGTTTCTATTCTATGCTTTGGCCGTAACGATTTCAGTCTCAACATTGTAGAATAAGAACAATGTAGTCAAAGTCAATTAAGTCAAACTCTAAAAGGCCGCAAATAAATGACAAATGACGTGTCTCTTCTTCATTCCAAAACGCAAAAAAGCAACGAGCTCAAATGTCCGTTTTTTTCTACTTAATACCCTCTATATGAATGACTCCAAAGTTGTCCAACACGTATACACAATAATACAAATTTTCAATTTGCTGGCAAATTGCTGTGTTTCTATTTATGCATTTAGCATTATAGCATCACAAAATCGAAATCCGTATCAATAAAAATATAACTAATATTTTTTAGCTCAATTTGTATAAGTAAAATCCTAGGCACAAGAATGCTATTGTTACTAACGTACACCTCAGCAACTTTGGTATACCCGATTTATAAATTGTGTTTGTCTACAGGGTATGGGTAAACTAAAGTAAAGTCCATTTGGCATTCGTGACTCGTCTGGTTGCTGGTCGATGAAGCTTGCCACACACTCGTGTCCATATAATTTCCAACATAGAAATATCGCACAAGTGCAAATGCAATTAGTTCCTAGCTTTATTTGTTTAAGCGAATGCCGACACTCACACACACACACACACACACACACACACACACACACACACACACACACACACACACACAGAGCAGACAAACATCGATGACTGCCTTTTTTTCTATGGAACTTGCAACAAGTAGTCGCGACTCTCGGCCTGTTTGTGGTATTAGTTTACAGACTTATAATTGTCCACATCATTTCTCCTCTTTTTGGTTTAACCAGCTAATTAAGATTTCTCAAATGGTTTCCTCAATTCGCCAATCGTAGCAGCTGCATTCTCGACTTTAAATGATCGTCATTCGATAGTTGCCTTTTAAATTAACTCCAAAAATAAATGTTGTCTGCTTAGTGGCACTGGCATGCCAATACAGCGGCCCTCTCTCTCCCTCTCTCTTTCTCTCTCTAAACATTTAGTTTAGTTTTTCTGCTGCATAGTTTTCGGCAGTCTTTTAAGGTACAACTAATATTATCAAATTGGATAACTTCCTATTGCAGTCATCTGATAGCTTTATAGTTATCTGATCTCTTACATTCTTTGGGTAAGGCAAATTTGCCCCAAGTTATTATCTTTCTTGGATCGCGTCTAATCGCAAAATATGCTGCAATGTTTGAAGTCATGCCCAATATGCCCCCAGTAAATAAAGTAAATATAGAAAAACAATTTGAATGTCTTATTAGAATGTTTATTGTTCTTGTTTTGTGTTGCACTCTGTACGTTTTTTTCTTTCTTTGAATGCTATAATAAATGCTATATAATTATAATGACAATTTTAATGTTAACGTTGCTGTTGCTATTGTTGATTCAAGTAATGCATAGATTAATATTTATATATATACGAAAATTATTGCACTCTAAAAAAATGAGCATCGAGACTATTAAAGGAATTGGTTGACTATATGTAACTACAGTTAAATCCATTGATCATATGGCAAAAACGTAAGATATTTGTGTAGCCCCTATATACTAGACATATAACTCGTATATAAACCGTACGAAAAACATTCGAAACAACAATAGCAATAACAATATTCACAAATCCACAAATTTTTATCTAAATAAAAAAAAATATTTATATGTATAATTAAAAAAAAAAAATAATTAAATACAATTTGAAATTAGCTCCAAATAGATAATACACAAACGATATGTAAAAAGCTGCTAACGCTAGATAATACAAATACATATACAGGCACACATCATTTACAAAGTAAAAACATAATGATAAAAGCATAATATATATATAACATTCACATGTGTGTGTGTGTGTATAGTAGCTATACATGTATAGGAGCAAATTGTGTGTGTTTAAGCTTATAATAATGCAATACAATACAATAATATAATAGGTGTAAAAAAATAGAGTTGTTCCTTTATAAGTAAGAAGAATAGCTAAATTATAGCTAAACCTGAAACTTAATATTAAACGCTCTGTTGTTTTGGTCTAATTAGCGGCATTAACACGATTGGAGGCCCTATGGCAATCGAGGGGCGTGGGACGGAGGGCGGCGACGGCGGCGGCGGCGGCGAGTATTGTGCTCTCAACAAATGCGCGTCTCACTCACTCAGTCACTCGCTCGCTCGCTCTTTCTCCTTCTCTCTCCCTCGACTTGACTGGCTGCTGTTGTTGTTTCTTAATGCTTATGCCAAACTCGTAGACAAATCACATCCAGCACATCACAGGCAGATTTTTTTCTTTTTTTTTTTTCGTTAACATAACCATCTAGGTATATACATATGTGTGTGTGTTGTATATATGCATATGTATATATACTGTTAGCTTATTATAATGTCTTATAAAATATATGTATAAGTTTATAAATATCAGAAGCAAACAGCAACACGCTTTCATATATACTACTACTCCTCCTTCTTCTCCTTCCTTCCAATCTCTCTCTCTCTCTCTCTCTCTCTCTGTCAATCTCCCTTGCTGCTTTATATCTCACTCTAGTTTTGACCGCCTTTTGTTTATCAGATGCCTGTTTCGGCAATCCCTTCGTCATCTGTTTAAAGAAATTAAAATACAATTTAGTTAAGAATCTTTTATAGTTTACCAATTTTTTCTAAATACTTTTTTTTTTTTTGTTTTTCAAAATCATACACATTAATTTATTGTAAACATGCCCAGGGTTAGTTGTAAGCGTGTGTGTGGGTTGTGTGTGTGTATGTGTGTGTGTGGGTGGATTTTAGTATTAGTTTGGCTTTAAATTACACTACTCTACAAGTTACAAGTTGTGTTTATATACAATAATGTTAACTTTTGGCGTTTTTGTTGTTTAACTTCTTTTTTTTTTGTTTTTCTTTTGGTTTGTTAGCAAATGTTTGCAAAAAAAATGGACAACTACGTAGAATACACTACAAATAAATGCGATTGTAGTTGTTGCCATTGTTGCTGTTGCTTGGGGGTGCACTTTGTTGTTTGTTGTTGTTGTTGTTTATGGTACAAACCTAAAAGCGGACTCTTATCAATACCATCACCATCCTCATCCTCAGTGTCTGTGTCTGATTGAGTGCTAGTGCAAATGTTTGTTGTTGTTGGTGCTGCTGCTGCATGTTGTTGAACACATTGTTGTTGTTGCTGTTTTTGTAGCTGCTCCTGACTGCTGCTGGTTGAGCTGTTGCTGTTGCTGTTGCTACTGCTGCTGCTACTGCTCGCCGTGGACAAAGTGGCTGTTGTCTCATTGTTTAATGGCTGCTGATCATCATCATCGTCATCAACGTCAGGCTCATCATCATCTGCATCCCGGTCCAGCTGCTGCTGCTGCTGATGCTGCAGCTCCAGTTCCAGCTCTCTGTCCAGCTCCTCGGCGAGTGCCAGTGAGGCGCGCAGCGGCGGCGCTAGCAACTTGTTGCCTTCAGCCAGCGACTGCTTGGGGCGCTCTAAGTAAATTTTAGTCACTGAATTCGTGAGTTGCAAAAGTTTGTTGAAGGCAAAATTTTTGTTCATATTTGTTTTTTTTTTGGTTTTTTTTTTTTTTTGTTTGCAGCAGTTGAGAGCAGTTGTGTGTGAGGTGTTAGATAAGTGTGTGTGTGTGTGTGTACGTGTGTTTAATATACAATGTGTGTGTGTGTGTGTTGTGTGTGTGAAAAGAAAGAAGAAAATCATTAAATTATAACAATTATTTGGTTAGTGACAATCAAATTTATAAAAATTAAAAACAGCTGCACACCAAAAAGTTAAATGCACGTGTGTATTGTGTGTGTGTTGTTGTTGTTGTTCTCTATATATATATAACATATATATACAGTAGTTGCTCGCGAGTAAAGACTCTTCTAATTTGCCAATAATAATATCAAACAGTGTTAACAATTTTATAATGATTATTAATATCAATTTAGTTTTGAAAAGTAAACACATACTACAAATGATGATTCTTATTTCTGGTTTTCTTTTTCTTTTTTTTTTTTAGCGAGCGACCACTGTAGTTCTGTATAGTATAGTATAGAACTTTAGTACAGCGTTAGTTAACAGTGTCATTTAAAAGTAGCAGCAGCGACGGCTACGTTCACCAAACCAACGACAACTTGGAAGAGAGTGCGGGGGAAACACGAGTAGAAAGGGGTCTTAAGGAACGACATAAGTTCGATCCAACTTACCCTCGTAGCCATCATTCTCATGCAGCTCATGGGAATCGGCCAGCAGATGCTCCTTGCCCTCGAGAACCGCCAGCAGGCATTGATGTATGCACACATACTGCTGCTCCGTTTGCACCATGAATACGCGCTCTAAAATATGAGAGACAGAGAAAGTGGAAAGTTAGATAAACTGCTAATGATATATGTATATATATATTCTATATTCGAATTCAATGTATACCCTTGCGCATGGCAAACACAATGCCAAAGATATCCACATAGTCGGACTTATTGATGTGCTGCAGTATGCGGTCCAGCGCTATGAATGTGCCCGATCTGCCAACGCCGGCGCTGCAGTGCACAATGATGGGTCGCATATCTGTGCCGATGACGTCACGGAATGCGCGCACGAATCGCACCAGGGATTGTGGTGGCTCCGGCACACCAAAATCCGGCCAGGTCGTGAAATGAAAGTGTCGCATAATCCGCGATTCGCAATTCTATAAACAGCAGCAGCAGAGAAGTGCAAGAGAAAAATTCAAGTTAGTTCAATGTTAAGGAAATCAAGGATATGAAACCTAAAACTTAAATATTGATTGATAACACAGATAAAACAAATATTGATTGATGCACAGTAGATCAATCATATGTATGGATATATTATATATCAATTCGAGGTTTATATATTAAAAATATTATTATTATTCTCGAAAAGGGCAAATGTATCGCTAAAATGATCTTAACTTGATCTTGACCTGGAATGAATTTAGTGAATTAAAATCAAATATGTCTCAAAACGTTGGCCAAACTGTGTTGCTTCTAACTGCAGCAAGCTGAGTTGAGTTTGCTTCGCTCTGCTACTTACCCTGGAGACCATAAACTCGGCTATGGACCAGTCACGAAAATGCGTATCGGTGATCAGTTGCACTTTGATGTCACCGTAGAAGATGGGCACACGATCGATGGGCCAGTATTGGTCGCACTTTTCGCGTCCCTTCTCGAAGCAGCGCGTCAGCATGACAATCGCCCGGGAGTTGCTCTCCCAGCACATGCGCCAGAATTCCTCGCGCGTCGAGTGCAAGGGGCCCTGGGTGACAATGAATTCGCGTGGCGAATTGTGACCGGGCATATAGTTGGCATTGATATAGTCGGAGCCATCGTCATCGTCCACCGGTTGCAGCTTGAAGCGCGAATGATCGTACGGCAGAATGTTGGTGAAACGATTCTTGGGCCGATTGCAGGGCAGATCGGCAAAGCTGCACGCCTGTTCGCGACCCACATGCTTCAGCTCCTCGAACTCCTCGCTAAAACGGAAATCCGAATCGGCGGCCATCAGGCGATAATGTTCAGCAAAATCCTTCACATGAATGGGCCGATTGGGCACTATATAACCATCTGGCAGTGCAGTCAACTCATCCTGCATGCGAGCCACCTTATTGGCTGAACGTCGTATGCTCTGACACCGATAGCGATAGTAGCCCACAATGGCGATGATGCAGATCACAAATACAGCTATGGCGAGAGCGCTGGCCAGCCACAGGACATCGTCGCGATCTGTCGTTATTGGTTCACTGTACACCGTGTCCGTAAACTTATCCTCATCGGTGAAGGCGCGCACCTTGATCCGATATGTTGTAGCCGATTTGAGCGGGCCATTGCAGTAGCCGGGACGATGTTTGTCACAGCCGGCGCTGCCAATGGTGAAGTCCTCAACGCCGATGCTTTTTAGACGGCTGACGTTGCCAAAGGGATTATACGGTTCGATCGCCTGATACGGCAGCCACACTGTATACGATTGCACATCCTGCCAGCTGGGCATCTCCAATCCGGACGCATTCTTGCCCACATCCTCGGCCACAATGATCGTATAGCCGCGCACCATTCCATGCGCATTCGAAAAATAGCTCTGACGGAATCGTATCTGTATCGTTGTGCTGCTGTGCCCCATCTCGATGGGCATTATGTGGGACTGTGGTGATGGCGGCGCCAATATGGGCATCAGCTGGCGATGCTCACGCTCCAGCCCATAGCCATAGCCCAGCGCCGATTTGGCCTGTATGCGAAAGACATAGCTATTGCCGGGCACCAGGCCATCGATGCGTGCCTGTGTCGCATTTGGCGGCAGCTCATAGCTGCTGGCATCCGCCACATCGTCCACATTCTGGCAGCTGATGCGATAGTGCTCGATGGGACCGTGCCGCTCCTGGGCGGCCAGTTGCCACTCGAAGCTCATCTCGCCGGGCTGCACATCGTTTGGCTGGAAGTACTCGACGCGACCGGGCGCCGCTGGCAGCGTTTCATAGCTGGCCGAGATTGGTGCACTGGTGCGCATCATGGCGCTGCCCGGTTCGCTGCCCGCTCGCACCGAGACGGTGAATGTGTAATTGTGATACGGCTGCAGGCGCTGCAGCGTTAGCTGTGTTGCCGTCGTGTAATTCTGCAGCAGTACCGGCGCATCCTCATCGGGACTCAGATACTGCAGTTCAAAGTCGGCATATTCGCCGGCTGGCGGTGTCCAGCGCAACGTTATCTCTTTGGCGTCCAGCTGCGTCGCTTGCAGCTCGCCAATGGGCAGCGGATGCAATCGATACAGACGCTGTATGGGTAGACTGGCTACGCCCCCGCTCACCGTCCAAACGGTTATGTTGTAGAGACGGCCGGGCGTCAGACCCGTAAAGCTTAGCTTGCGCTCCGTATCATTGGCCAGCTTCTCCTTGTCCTTGATCAAAGGATCGCCCAGCGAGAAACGATAGATATCGAAACGGGTGCTCGACTCGGGCGTTGGCGTGTAGTTCAATATTATGCTATTGCTGGTCTCCTCCTGCTGCTGCGGCTGCGTCTGTGGCTGCTGGTGTTGATCGGCATCCTGCTGCTGGTCCATGGCACTCGAGATGAACACATCCGATTGGATGAGCGGCATCGTGCGCGTCGACAAATGCGTGGTGCCGGAGCGTATGGCATTAGAACTGGCCTGTACCTCGAACTTGTACTGTCGACCCGGCGCCAGATCATCAATGGGTATGCGTACGCTGGCCGAGCTGACTGTTTGTTGAAGAGAAAAAAACAAGCGGAAAAGTTCATCAGTCATGGTGGGGGTTGGGGAGGGGCATTCCAATTGGCATTGTTAGACTTACGATCTTCGGGCAGCTGTGTCACGTTCTTGTATTCGACCAACTGAGGCGCATCCGTCGACCACCATTTAATGGTATAGTAATCGACATGACCATCGGGTCGGGGCCACTCGAGCGTAAGATTGCGTGAATCGACCAGCGGCACCACATTCGACACGGGCTGCGGCGGCATCGTAATGTTCAGCTCCAACGGTGCGGGACTCTCGACGCCAAAGCTTAGGCTGTTCACCTGCACCAGATAACGTTCGCCATAGTGCATGTCCTCGATGCGCGCCTGGGGCTCGTGGACATTGGGCAGACGCTGCCAGGTGGAGGCATCTGTGCGATAACGCACAGCGTATTCATTGTAATCGCTGCCCTCCGGCGGCAGCCAATGCAACAGCACCAGATTTGTGTTCACCGTGCGCTGTGTGAGATTCCGTGGTGGTTTGGGAACTGCAATTTGAAGTGTGTTAAGTGATTGTTGCTGTTTGTGGATTGGTTTGATTGGATGACAAGACTCACAGACTGCCTGGAAATAGGAATGTGGCTCGCTGCGCATTTCATGACTGATCGCATAGACCTTGATCGCGTAGCCGGCGCCCGGATGCAAATACTTGATGGTCAGATTGGTGCGATTCGTGCTAATTGTGCGCTCCTCATTGGTCCCGTTGCGCTGATAGTGCACCTCGTAACGATCCTGCTGCGAATTGACATCACTCCGCCAGCTAATGTTCAGGCCCTGGGCAATGCTGCGCAGCTCCTGAATTATGGGCGCCGCTGGCCTTGTGTCGCGTGTGAGGCTGCTCCCATTCGAGCTGATGCCATTGGACAGGGCCTGCACTTCGATGTGGTAGCGTCGTCCCGGCAGCAATCCATCCAGCTTGTATTCCGTTTGCGCGGTTTGAACGTTTTGCGGCGTCGTTGCTGGTGTCGCCTCCGATCCATTGATCTTTTCATGGTAGCTTTTAATGGAAGAATGAAGAAGAAAAGATGAGTTACCGTATGCCAACTGATTGACTCGCTCACTTACCTAATGCGATAGCTATCCTGCTTGCCGGTCTCAGCTGGCTCCCAGGAGAGATACACCGCATTGCTGCGATCATCCAGATAGCCTCTCAGGCTCCTTACCGCACGCGGACGCAGTGTAATCTCAGCGGTCGCTGGCCAGGAATTCACATTGTCCGACATGGTCTTCACCACCACCTCGTAACTCTTGCCCGGCTCGAGCACTTCGGGGTAGTCAAAGTGCACGCTGCTCGCCTCGGTGCGTGGCACAGTGAATACCCGCCGCGATATCGATATCTGGAAGCCATCGTATTCACTGTACGTCCGAGGCGGCTCCCAACGCACCCGAAACGTGCCGGTTGTTGTGTAGTGCGGATCAAAGGTCACGTTCAGGGGTCGCTCCGGCACGGTTAGATAACGTGCCGTCGTCGGCACAGACGTCTCGTTCTCGGAGACGGTCTGCACAGAGATATTGTAGGCGCGACCCGGCACCAGACCCTTGAAGGCCGCCTGCGCGGGACCGGGTGGCTCACCCTCGCGCTCCACATACAGCACACTCTCGATGGCATCGTCCGGCGTGATTGAGACCTTGTAGTGGGTGTAGAGACCCGCCGGATATGGCGGCTGCCACAGCACCAGGAGCGTGGTCTCGTTGCGGAACCACACGATGAACTTGCCGGGCGTATTGGGCTCTGCATGGGACGTGGGTTGGGAGGAGTTACAAATTATGCTTTACTACGCTGGACAGCTAATGGTGTGCAGGACATTGTGACTGGGCTAATCGGTTTAGTGGGGTAAATATGGTGGAAGGGACGGGAAGTGTGACAGGGGAGTCATTTAGCACTGTTAATGGGGGAATTGACTTACAAATAGTACAAACACAACAGACAGCAACACCGAAATAAAGACGCAACACGCAAAGGCACAATGATCCCCAAGTCGATCGAACCAAGAACCACAATTCAAAACTTAAGCTAATTAAATAACAAACAAAATAAATAAATAATAATAATAATTGTGATAATGTGTTTTATAATGGCTGGTGTTAAAAAATGACTGTAAACAAAAGATTAAGGAGCTCGAAATGATATCACAGTTCCAAAGAAATTGAGTTTGGTGAACGCATTTTAAGATCGGGTGAACTCCATCGAACTACCATCACAAGATATAACAGCTTATAGTATTCGGAAGACAACAGACGGACTTGAATTAAATCTTACTAAGAGAAATCAAATAAAATTCTTGGGATATTGGTTTGTTTCCAGTTGGGGAGCACTGTGCAAGCGTTAAGATTAATTATTAGACGTTCAAATACTCGTTTACTTATTTATTAGCGCAACAACTGGGAGACAACAAAGTGAGAAGATTCTTAAAGTTACCTCTAACAAATACCTTGATCCGCAAGCAGCAATAAAAGTGTAAGGAAGAGAATGAGAGAGAGACAGAGACAGAGAGAAATGGGGGGAGAGAGAGAAAGTGTGTGTGTGAAGAAATTTGAGAGAAAGAGAGAGTTTCTGTTAGTAGACACCACAACCAATCTGGGGAAAATGTGTGTTTGGCGGGGGGACAGGCGTGGAAAGACCCTCACCCTTAATACACTTGAACCAAATTTGGATTAATATTAAGTTAAGATTAAAGGCTAAAGATGAATCGTTTACCAAAGAGTTGCGAGGATTTTTAAGGAACTGTATTAGTAGTTTAGAAATTGCAGCGACGATTGGGTTTGCGTGTGCCAGCGGGCCGGGACTTACTTGTGGTGAAATTGCGACTGGTGTAGGCGACCGACTCCTTGCCCTGGTAGATGGTATAGGCCTGCACCTGATACGTGCCGCCCGGTGTTAGTTCCTTGGCCGATAGCTGCAGCATATCGTTGCCATCTAGCAAGTAACTGCGATTGTATTCGCTATGCGACGGTTCCGTCAAACCCAAAACCTTAATCTTAAAGCTCGTATATTTGCCCATGCTGGGCGGCTTCCAGGTGATTAACGCACTCTTGCTGGAACGCAGCTGCACGCTGAGATTGTCGGGCGGATCGGGTGCTAAATGGTACAGACAGAGAGACAGAGAGTTAAAAACCGATTTCGATATTCAACACAATGCAGAATCAACTTTCTCACCTGTGGTTATATTCACCGTCCAGGTGAGTAGCTCGCGATGCGTCGAATTCGTGTAGTACAACCAAAAGTTGTATTCACTGCCAGGCAGCACTCGCGACAATTTGATATCCTGTCCGATTTCGCTGGCAGGAATTGTGGTATTCGGTTCGGGATAACCAAATGGCGGACTGTAGTCGATCCGATAGAAGGCATTGTCATTGCTGCTCGCATTCGGCACACTGATGACCAAATCGGCGCCATTTGCCTAAACAGAGAAAGAGAGATGGAAAATGTGGAAATAAGAGTTAGTTGATGAATTTTAGTTCGTTTAGCTATTGATGGTTTATTAAATGCTAGTTCCGTTGACCCAACAAATGGTTCCTAACTGTGCCGAGCCGTAACTGACCTATATTTTGAAATCGTTAAACTGTCTGTCGCTGCTGTTGCCACTGTCACTGTTTCCCAACCCATTAATCATAGCGATAAGACACACACACACACACACACACACACACATACACACACACACACACATACACACACACACACACACACACAAACAATAAACGATAACACTCATTTGTAGCTGTTGCATCTCCAAAAACAAATGTTGACTCACAATGTCAGGGCTGCAACGATTCCCTCAATCCAATTTGCCACCATTTACTATAGATAACGATAATGAGTTAAAATCATCGTATGAGTCATATATATTTGGCAATTGCGAAAAATTCTGCCATATCATAGATATATATCTGACTAATGTGCATAGTTATAGTACATACTATGACAGTCTATTGATGTGGACATTATCTAAGATCTCAGATTAGGTTGCCAAACACTACCTCAATAAAATGAAAATCTATTTATAATGTCGATTGTGTGACTGCCGTTATAAGCTGCTCGTAAACTCTTTTAGTGGGTATTATAATGATGTCATGTAATGTGTCACGCATCGAAGGAGCGTTCTTTTTTTCGACACCATCTATAGTATATATCTACATTAACTTTCCGGCTTACAAGTATAATAAAGATTCAAATGTTCAATCAAAACTAGTAAGAGTGCTTTAGCCAGAGACTATGACTAGGAGATAGGAGGTCCTAGACTCATGCCTTTACATACCACAGATCAAATTCATCGAATGTGTTGAATAATTAAATAGATATCAAATACTCAATCCCAGAGACACAATCGTTTGAAAATCAAATTTCAGTCATTATTTCATTTAAAGAATTGTTTACAATCAAATTTCAGTAATTACTTCATTTAAAGAATTGCTTGCAATCAAATTTCAGTTATTGGATCATTTAGAGAAATGTTTGCAATCACTACGAGGATCGCTTTAGGGCCAATTTTCGTTTCGGTTAGATATGCTGAAACTATCTATTGGAATTGGCCATCTAATTATCTTATAAAGCAGATCGCAGTATAATTTTAAATGCTAAAGTCGCAGTTTTAACGCAGGCCTTAGCGGGGAAGCGAAATCCGTTGAGATATGTGTGGCACAGATGGGAATTGCAATAACACGAAGTTTGCATAACATCAAGATTTTTTATTTATTTCTTCTGCCATTCAAAATGATAATGAAGCTTTGATTAGCGAATTTCATAAACATGACTAGTTAATTTAGTGTATTTAGCTTGTTAACTGATACGCGGATCTTCGGATCTGCGGATATTCATAGATGACGATTATCGCGAAAAGTGGCGCGCTCTCGGGCACGTGTTGTTGATAAAATAAAAGACATACGGAGAGAGAGAGAGAGAGAGAGAGAGAGAGAGATAGAGAGAGAGAGAGAGAGAGGGAGATGTAGTCAAAGGAAACTCATGTAGGTAATTTTCCCTCAAAAAGTAAATATATTGTGAATGAATTGAGTAGTTTCCCAAGCTTGAAGTAAGCGAACAGCAGCAAAGCGGAAAATTACAATGGAAAGCCGCAATTGATTTTTTTTTCAACTTTCAATATGAAATATAAATTGAGGCTCCATTCAAATTGTTCGCTGCACTTGCTGTTGTTGTTGTTGCATGTGACATGCAAACAATACAGCAAATACGGAAGTATATTTTTTAGATTTCCGATTTGATTGTGGGTGGTTTTTTCTATATTTATTTTTTTTGTTCAAGTCCCTTCCTAATTTGTCATTTAATCAAAGCTAATACGAGTTTAGAACGACCCATCACATGAATAATTTCCGTAAGCCAATTTAAATCGGCAATTTGCTTGACTAATGGAGCGCTGTGTTCGCCATAATTCGCCATAAGAATAACCCATTAAGAGACGATCATTTGAAAGGCATTAAAAGAAAAAAAACAGCTGCATAAATTGACAACAGTCACACAAAATGTGTGCCACAGCTGAATGTTTAAGGATGCCGCATATGGAAAGAAGAACTGAAGAACCAATTGATTGCAATTCTGCGAGGCATACAAATGACGCCTGTTTGCATATTGGTTGCATGTGCAGCACTTTTGGGAAAAGGTAGCTGAATCTTCGAATTAATCATACCAAATCTTTTTGAGTTACACAAATAAACTAGATAAAATCGAGCTTGTGCTCGGACAAAGCAAATAGACTCAGACTCTAGAGAATGCCAATAGATCGATGATATTTCCACTGTTTATGCTCTATTTACATACAGAGGTGCTAAACCCTATCGAGTGGCAATTGGCATATTAATTTGCATTGGCATGCGAAAACATTGAAAGCAACTCAAGATTCGATATTTGGATTTGGGATATTTTCAAGCTACATTTACAATTTGTACCCATGTCTGGGTGAGTGTGTGTAAAACGAAAGTATTTGAGTCAAATTCATATTTCATATTACTATTTATTTTGTGTGGCATTTGAGATATGAGAGTTGCGAGAGATGCACACATCCATATATACAAATACATAACAGACATATATATATATATTTATATATGTATATATATATATATATATATGTGTGGGCGACAGTTGGGGCTATTTATAAAGCACTTGCGATTGACATTGCGCACTTATCTGATCTGCAGTTGTTGCCGTAGTTGCTGCTGCTGCTGCTGCTGTTGTTGTTGTTTTCTTCACATTTGACTGTCTGTCTGCCTTTCACTTTCCGTTTTTGAATTTATTTTGTTTGGGTGCCTTCGAAGTACAGCGGGAAAGTTGTGCGACTGCACGCATGCATAGCAGTCAGCTTGTGTCAGTCAGCTTGGCGTTCAACTTAGCCCAGTTGTCAGCCGTTTGGCATTAACGAAGCTACGACCTTGTCCGCTCATTATAAATGCAATTGTCGCCTCGACGCGTCGCCCATGGACAATTGCAGCCAGCTGCAATTAGTTTTGTGCTTTGCAAATCAACAAAAACTGAATCTGAAAGACGAGGTCATGAACCAATCAAACGAACCCCAATATACTTGTATATATATTTATATATATATATATATATATATATATATATATATATCTGCATCACTCTTTCTCTCGCAACCCCCTCGCACACACACACACACACACACACAATAGTAAATTGCAAATGAAAAGAACCCAATGCCATAGTTGAATGATAACAATAATGATCTTGATCAGCATCATCATCATCATCGTTTTGGCAGAGGGGCTAAGTCGGTGCTTTAAATAATTCCATGACGTGTTGATTTCCTGACCATGCGGCGCTAAAAAAAAACTAAACAAAACATTTTTTAAACACCAACACAAAGAGCATCACATAATTCTCCCCATCTCTCACCCTCTCTCGATAGACAGAAAAAATAAACGCAGCTCAAATTAAAAGCACAAGCGAACATTTTTTGCGTTGAGCTGGCAAAAAACAAAAAAAAAAAAAAAAACAAATGCCAAAAAAAAAGCAAATAAACAAATGACAAAAGTTGAAAATATTGCCGAATATTGAATACTCTTAGTTAGCGAACAAAGTTTCAACAATAAATAGTCGCAGCAAATGAATGAATCGTGATAGAGACATTAGTTTAAGCAAATGATTTGTTTTGGGTAGATGTGTAATAAATTAGAATAATATTAGTAAGTGGCGATGTTTGTGGTTAAACTAACTCAAACAATGAAAAACAAAAATAACCTGTTCCATGTGCTGAAGATAATATCAAGCTGAGACACACTCAAATCGAATAGGGTATCTAGACAAAGAGTCGGCTGCATTAGTTGTAGGCACAACGGGCAGGTGCGCCATGTGGGTCGGCGGGTTGCCAGGCGTCGGGGGGAAGTGGGCCGGTCGCTTGAGCCATGTGTGCCGTGTGTGTTGTGTGTGTTGTGTTTTGTGTGTGATTTATAAAGCGCTGTTGGTTTTTGCTAATTATTTATATGGCAGCTGCCGAAACCAGTTAGGTGAGCTCCATGTTTTATTTATTTAGTCTTTTTTTTTCAACTTTTATTAAATCACTTATTTTTTTGTAGTTTGTATTTTTCATATTCGGTATTCAATAAACAAATTTTGCATTGGTATTTGGCATGTGAATGTAAATGTGAATGTGAGTAAATGAATAATTTGCAGTTGAATTCGTGCGACTAAAAGCCCAAAGACCAACAACAAACAACCAAACTGTTCAGCGTTTAGTTTTCTTTTTGACTTGGCCCAGTTATTTTGCGCCATACATTTACAAAGTGATCGTGGAGCGGGGGATGGATGGTGGGGGGGGGGGGGGGGGTCGTCGATGTTGTGGTATGATAATGTTGCGAGCGTGTTTGCAACACGTTGATAAGAATTGATATGCATATATATATATATATTCGTATAATCTTGTTAAAGCTTCAGATATGCAACTTGATATGCACGTTTCATGCTAAAAAAAAAAACTCTGATAAGGAATACGAATAGAATTCGTTGCAATCATTTGAAATCTGCTTAGAGGGTATCCATCGTCGGGTCAAGTGTTCCAGTGTACACTTGTCGTAAAAGGTCGTTGCAATTAACATTAATTAATGCAGCGCATTAGGCAGATTACATTATAAGTATAATATCTAGATATATGCATCTGTATATATATATATATATATATATATCTATGATCCGATCTGTCGACAGCTAACTGCCCGATACAATTGCAATTATAAAACACAGCCTCAACCTCATCCACAACCACATCCAAGTGTTTGGTTTGGCGCAACGCAATTGGCCAATTAACTGCTGCTGGCCATTTATGTATTAGGCCCAATTTGTGGTTAATTAAGCAAGGCAATCATAGCAAAGTCCATAACTGAATGAACACTGCAGCACTGGGTAGGTTCAAGGCTGTGCGAGGGGTCTGAGTTGAGCATTAACAGAAGCGCCACTGATGACCTCTGCGTAGCAACCCGTGTAGATAGTTGCCAGAGATAAAAAATAGGTTAAGATTACAAATCGTTGATATTGTTAATTAATGCTTGATAGCTTTAAGCTTATATAAGATTACACATACTTAAATACGAGACGGGGGTTTGATTATAATATGATATCGATAGTTGGAACAATCACTTAACTTAACGCAGCTTTCGAATATCTACCTGGCACTGAGCATGTGTGTTCCGGATTCGAAATAGTTGCAAAGTTTTTAATAAGTACAAAACTGATGTCAGTGTAGGCCAATGGCCCACAAAACATTTTGCTCGGTGGCAGCTCTTTCGGAGAGCAACTCTAGGAACAAAAAAGACAGAAAAAGAAAATAGAAGGAAACTGATGTTCTTTAGTTTACACGACTTTACTCAGCACTCGCTGCCTGACAGCAGAAATAATTTGCCGCTAAATGGTGGGCTATTTTTAAAAGGGCACTACATCAAGTGCTGCCGGATAGTTGCATGCCGCAAGCAGACACACACACACAAACACACATGTGTCTACTCCAGTCTAGGCGGAACAAAACGAGGTTGCTCGACCAGCTGATACTCTGCACTCTGCACTTTGATAGCAACCGATATTAGACTTGAGTCAGTCGACCGGCGGCGACTATCTGCTATTCGTTTATGTAAATTGTATTCGAATTCGCATACCACGTTAACAGATAAGGAGATAGCAAAAGAAATTGAGCAAAAACAGCTGACCGGCAGAACATAAACTGAATGATTTAACGCAAGCGACTTGTCAACCCATTTTGGGGCCACTTTTTATTTGAACAGTGAGGCAGCGGCCACCCTCTCGGTCCAAACAAGGCACAGCCTCAGCCTGCATACCAATTAGTAGGCGATACAACGATTCTCTCTGAACCTTCCTCCTCCCCACCCCACACGCCTTTTTCTACGGCACTGCATTCGAATAAACAATAAACAATAAACAAAAACCAAAAAGAGCCGAGTACAAAACTGAAGTTTCGGTATAAAAAAAAAGAAGAAAACAGAAGAGTGTGAGGGGGATGTGGAAGGGGGTGGGGGGAGGGGCTTAAGCAAGTAACCCGCTGCCCGACTGCGGTTTAATTAATTAAAATTAGATCAGGCGATCGGCGGCAAGTGCATCAAGCAAAACAAGTTTATATTAAAACCGAAAGGCCGAAAAAACGAAACAATTAATAGTAATAAAAAATGGAAATAATATTTTCGAAATTAACACTTTAAATTAGAGCAATAAAATTATAAACAACTAGCGACAAATATAATTGGCAATAGAAATACCCTGCAAACTTAGTTAAATAAGGAGAAAAGTTAGGATATGAGATCATCAGGTATCAAGTATCATTTGATACCCATCAGTTAAACTGCGCGTTAAGTTTAGCACAGCTTGGCAACCAGTTGGCTTTATATACGCTATACCCATTCAAAATGTGTAAGAAGGGTATAATGACTTGGTGCAAACATATGTAACAGGCAGAATGAAACATCTCCGGCCCGAGTTGCTGATTAAGTCAGAGACTAAAAGAACTAGATATTTCAAATATTTCAAATTTAAAATATAAATTCCCGTATACTCCGTGCAGATCAAGTATATTTCAATTTATCGATAACTTCGATATCACACGCACACACACACATCTAAAAGGATGCAATTTCAGTTCGGGCTTGTGAATAAAAAAAAGTGCAGCCATTGATTTCTTTTACTCTTCATAAGAAATGAAAGCACTTGCATACCTGCTTACATTTGGGTGTGCAAAACTTTTTCAATGGAAATTTAGCAATGCAAGTGGAATATATTTAAGAGCTAGATTCAGGGTATCTCGTAGCAGTCAGTATGACAACCCTTGTGTGCTTTCAATTTACAGATAGCGGCAACAATGTAAGAGCTAATGGTTAAAATTGAGCGATTGGTGGGGACGGGGAGGGGGCATGATGCTGGCTGGGTTTGAGGTTGGGGAGTTATGTGTTTTTGTCGTCTATCGGTCCAAAGCGTGCGCCTTATTAAATTGAGAATGGTCTGAACTTTCTGCGCCAATTGCAGAAAAGTCGGCGCAATGCGTTTGATCTGTGATTATACCAAATGTAATGCGCCTAATTGGTATAAATGCCAAGCGGCCAGCGATTGTTACCAGCAGCAGCATTTACATATCTTCCAAAAAAATGTAACCAAAAAACACAATCAAATTTCATGCGCTGATGTCATTGGTGATTTTTGTGTTTATTTTTTTGATGGGACGCTTAATAAAATACGAGTCTAACGTGAATACTTGCAAATTAGTCAGTAATCGAGTGGCAAAAGTATCGAGTACTCGAGTGCGTCGAGTTCAGTGGGAAAATGCCGGCACGTAATTATCTCGTTCGTAGCATTTGATATTATGATTAAGTCAAGGCAAGATTCTCTTTGTGTTGTTGTTGTTGTTGTTATTTGTATACTACGTTGTCTTGTTCTTCATCTGAAATTATTATCTGGTTGTTGTTGTTGGTGCTGCTGCTGCTGCTGCTGCTCACTTGGCACGTGAGCCCGGAGACGAAACAGTCAGCAGCGGCCGCATTCCGAGTGACTTTAATTGGCAACTGCAAAACCGACTTTGCGACAATCTTTCTCTGTTATTCAAGTTTTTTGGCTTTGTATAATTGTCTTACTATTATTATTAAGTGTTTATTTTTTTTTTCTTAAAGAGATAGCCAGCGCTAGAGTTGGAGTAAGAAACAAATTGATTAGTTTAAGAATAGGACAGATTTGTAGCCAGCTAAAAGAGCAGCCACAGTGGGCCACACATCGAGAGAAGCCATCAACCTTGAGCAATTCTTCAGTATATATATATATATATACATATGTATGAATGTGTGAATGTATGTGTGTGAATATATCTGGTTTCTGTTTCATTCGTTTCTCGAGTTATCTGTCTTCTCATCTTTTTTTTGTAATATACCCTACGACAATGAGGTAGTCTGCGTTTTTTACGTCTCTAAAAATATATAGCTTGAGTCGAAACAGCAATTAAGTGGAGCGTTTTGAAGGGTATTTAAACGTCGGCTACCCAATAAGAATGATAGCTGCTCTTACTGGTTTATTCATCTTCTTGTTGTTTGTCTGTTGTATTTAGTTGTACGCAAATTGAAACGAGTTTTATTCAAAAGTAAACACAAAAATAAAATAAATTAAAAAGAATCTATCATGAATTGTTATTCAAAAGAAATGTGTTTGAGTGAATGACATTTACGAAACGGATTCAAAAACAATGTATTCAAATCGAAACTGAACAATACAAAAAATACATATACAATTATATATACGAGTATATACTAATATTAGAACGAGTTCTCGGTGCACTTTAATCGACTGCAGGCGCATTATGGAGTTACGGAATCGTGGGTTTAACCCCCATTTAGTCAAAACTGAAAACAATACGAATGCGAAAAAAAACAACAGACAGAAAACCGGCCGAGCGACTTAGCGAGGAGAGATTAAAATGTTTATAACACAATTAAAAATAAAATAATCATGCAAATTCAGCAACGAGTGCGCACTGCCTGCCTAGCGTCGACCCATAATGTGAGCGGGGAGTTCCCCGCGTTAATTTGCATTGTTGTAATTTGTAATTTGGAATACTGTAGGTGGCAGAGGGAGAGAGGAAGCTGTGCCGATTGAGACGCAGTAAATCCCCCAATCGAAATGCATCATATAAATATATATATGTATATATATATGTACATAAAAAAATTGCAACATTTGGTGTTTTATGAGTGCAGCGACAGGTTCATTCCAGTTAAAGAGGGCGTGGGAAGGCGTAGCAGGGTAGGAGAAGGAGCAGTTGGGGAGGCAGAGGCTGCAATTGTTTACTTGATCGAAATTTGAAACGGAAAACGTGAATTGGAATAGATGGCAATAGAATAGTGCAACTATGCCGCATCCTCCCTCTCTCTCTCTCTCTCCATCTCTCTATATCCCTAGCAACCAGTCCTAATGAGCTGTATTCCAAGAATTTCTTTTAACTACACACATTTGATTGGTAAATTTGTGACCGAAACACGCATACCCTGTAAATCATAAATCTATACAGTGAGCTATTTATCTATTGCAACTGAAGATATACTACATATTTATTAAGCTTGATCTTAATAAGCCAAACTATTGAGTGATCACTGTAGGTGCACAACCTCTAAACTTCAGCAAGCCCAAACAAAAAGAAAAAAACAACAATCAACTTACCTGTGGCCAGAATATTGTTAAAATGCTAAAAGCAAGCAGAATTTGTTGTTGCTGCTGCTGCGTCTTCTTCTTCTTCTGCTCCTGCTTCATGGCGCTGGCCTTTGCTGCGAGTACAGTGGTAGCCCAAATTGTTGTCTATTGTGGCTTTTTGGTGCTCTTCGTCGTTTTTGTTATAACATCATTTGTCAGTCTCTGTATGTGTTTGTGTAAATATCACTCTCTCGATAGGACGTCACTTAATTAATATTGCACTTGTTTACAGCGGGTAACAGCGACGTTGACGTTGGCGTTGGTAGCGACGTTCGTTTTCTGCAGAGGGAAAAAAAGATGCGTCGCGCCCATGCTTGTTACAAATTGTTGTTGTCTGCTGTTAGTTGTTGTTTTTTTTTTTGGTATTTGTTTTGCAATTCGAGGAATATCCAATGTACAAATGCATTTTATGACCAAACAAAATTATAACGGCACTCTCACACTGCCGCTGCTGCTCTCTCTAACTCTCTCAAACAAACCAACCAAAAGAGTGTAATGTGCAAAACCGAGAGAGAGCGAGAGAGCACGCGAGCGAGCAACAAGCGAAAGCGTCGCAGGTAGAAAGCAAACGAATGGACGGAAAAACCGAGACTGCGACAGCGACGACTGTCTGACTACCAGCCTGCTTGAGGCGTATGGTAGTGCAAGCGAGAGGCACGCACAAGTGCGTGTGCGTGTGAGTAAGTCTGCATGTGCATACAAATGCAGGCCTATGCATGCATGCGTGTGTGAGTGTGTGGGGACGGCGTGTAATAACGGCGCTTTACAACCGACGCAGTTGCTGCACTGTTGTTGTTGCTGCTGCTGTTACTGCGCTGCTGGTGCTGGCTGCATTACGAAATAACTGCGCGTCCGCCATGACAATTACTAAGCAATTGTTGTTGCTATAGCTGTTCTTCAATTATTGCACCCCCATTTTTGTGCACTGCACAAGTAATTATATTAATGCTAATTGCACGCATTTATTTCAACAACAACAACAGACACTGTCGCCGCCCTTTCCACGCACACAGACACACACATACAAGAAGTGATGACAGCGGCGGCGCGACGGCAACAGCGACCGCGACAGCGACGTCATCTGCCCACAAAAAAAAAATCACTTGTAATTGTTGCTGTTGTTTTTGTTGCTGCTGCTTGCTTCTTTTTCTGCTGCTGCTGCTGCATCAATTAATACACTCGTCACGTTTTGTGTTGACGTTTTTAGTATAAAGTATGTTTTTTTTTCCTTCATTTTGGTGAAATTTTAATGGCCGTCGCACTGCTTTATATATATATTTATATAGATGTATACATATATTTATATATATCTATATATATGTAGACATTAACTTATACATATGCATATTCGCGAACTCTAAGCAAATACAACTAATACAGGTAACACGCATTAATTCAGGCAACAACAGAAGCAGCAACAGCGATTTGTAAACACAGCGCAACAAAAACAAAACGAGAAAAAAAAACAAAAAAAATATAACCGTACACAATGTGTAGGAGAGAGAGAGAGAGGGAGAGCGCCTTTTCCTTACTCTCCTCTCTCTCTATATGTATGTATTTATTGCTTTAATTGTTAAATGAAACATTAATGAATAACATTTGAAATTGGCATGGGGCTGAGCTAGCGCCAAAAACAACTAACCGAAAACGGGGCTCAGCAAATCGAAAATTTAACACATTTTCGTTACAAACACAATAACATGAAGCGCGGCAGCGACAATAACCGAACCGCACGAAGAAGCGTATAAAAATGAACAAAACAAGTGGATAATAAAACAACAAAAACAGTGCATCCAGCAACACTTGAGTGCGCTGCGCAGCGCTGCTTTGCTTAATCGATATATCGCTATTACTTATCGAAGAGCCTCCATATTGCTGGTATTTATCGCATGCGTTGACCATTCACAGCTTAACGCTGCGCAAGCGCCATCTAACGCTAAGTTCCCGTGCATACCGCTTGCTACAATTCAAATTTCACTTGAATTGTGAACCAATATGTGTAGTTTTCCTATTTGCAAAAGTCTACGAAGAGTTTCACAACAGCATTAGCTCAATTTCAATTAGGTTTGGTTTTTATACCCTTACGGGAGTATTATAATTTATCGTGGAGTCATCTGCAGCGCCATCTGATGTTCAATTCGTGCGCCCACCGTTTGCTTTAAGTTAAATTTAATTTTTTAATGTGCATTGGAATAAACAGATTTTTTGCAGATTTCGCTCGACTCGACGCTCCACTTGGCCAGGAAACACTAGGCATCTATGCAAATATGGCAACTACTTAAACTTGGTTAGCAAAGTTCGCATAAAAGAGGAAATATAACAAAGAACATGGGCAGTTTCAACTTTCGCATTTGCGTTTGTCTGAACGGAATTGAAAACGGAACCGGAACCGGAACCGGAAGCGGGACCTGAAATGAGCATTGCAAGCTTGGCAAACCAAAGAAAAATGTGTTGCAAATCAAGTTGCACTCTGAGAGTAAGCAAGCACAAAATAGTTTTAATGTTTGAGATATATTTAATTCTATGTATTTTCAAATGTATGGCTTGGATGGTTATAGTTATCATTCTAAAATATATTTAGTTCTTGGCATTTATAATATTTGTTGTGTTCTCAGGTAAAATGTCAGACGCAACAATGGGCAATTTCAAAATAGTATTTGCGCGCCCGTTTCAACTCAACAGCTGCATTGTGCTGGAATCGATAGTACGTATCGATACGATAATTGATGAGCTGCAAAAGCAAAAAAAATACCGATTCATGTGGCGCCAAATGTGCATTCAAATGAAAATAACTCAAATTGAGAAGCAAGGATTTTATTATCGGAAAACCGAAAGTTATCGGAGAACTTTATATCCCCTTATTTCTTTCATCAAGCCGGTTATTCAGCATTTGAGAATCTTCTACTTTTATCAAGTAAGTAGAAGCTCGACTAAGAGAACCACTAACAAAACCAAATAAGCAGTGCCACACTACCCACTTAGTTGGCTGCCACGCTGAAACTAATCGTTGAGAATGTTGCGAACGCGAAACACAGCACGAAGCAAGAACTCCCAGTCAGTGAGAAACGACAAGCGCGGCGACCACTCGGCTCGACAGCCGAACGCCTGTTGGTCGATAGGAGAGGGGAGTGCAGTGTGACTGATCTATGTAGGCTAGTGCTTGAGCCCATCTGTTATATGCATTATGCATAATTAAATGAAAAAAATATATGCACTGCAGAATACACGCACACACACACACACACGCACACAGTGAGCCTAACTGGCTCACTTCGATTATCATGCTGTCCCCTTCTCACATATGGAAATTACTAATACTAATGAAATCAATATTAGAATACACTTTGGGTCTTAACTTTGGGGTTACTAATTCGATCTTAATGACATTTCGACAGTTAATATATGATATGCCCGCGTATATCACGTATTAAAATTGGGACTCGACACTACGAAATATACTAGAAATGCACGTGATCAGAGGATTATTTCTTTATAGCAAGAGTATACACACCTGGACACTAAAATATAAAATAGTCAATAATAATTTAAGAGAAACAAATTTATAAATAACTAAATCTCATGGCCAAAATACATTTTTTATAAAATGTGTAAGAAAACTTTAATTTATTAATCGATTTTATTTGAATTTCATTTGAGTTTATTCGTTATAATAAAAGCTTAACTGATCTATTAAATAATATAATATAATCAAAATATATAAAGGATAGCAGATAGAGCGTAAGCTCTAAGATCAAGGATAATTAACAATTGCATAGCCACATTAATTGGACGGTCTCAGAACTTATCTACCAATGCTCCTAAGTCAACAAAAATAAAAAAAAAACCTTGAAAACCACGCAGGATTAAAAACTTCATCAGTAGGGTTCCCTTGGATAGAACAGAAAATATTAAGATGGGGGTCTTGACAAAATAAAATCAACTAGGTATGCACATGGAATACAGGAATTTATATTTTTTATAAGCTTATATCGGGTGTAGATATACATATGTATTTTATGGGATCGGAGATGCTTCCTTCTGCCTATTTCATACTTTGCCACAATGTTATTGGATTTGGGGCACAAAAAGGAATTAAGGTCATCCCTGGCAAATTATTACCTTTTGTTATGTAAGTGCTTCTAAGTAGTATTCTTGCATCTTTTCTTATCTGCAAAATCAGTCAGAATCGGTTAGATCGAACCACTTTATCATATAGCTGTCTTAGCTATAATATTTTTATATATGTAATATAATTTACTATATTTATATAATTATATAATTTATTCTTATATATACTTTTATTTCAAATGTTTTTTTTTTGTCGGCGAAAAGTTGCAACAAAAATCGATTAAGCAATTAAAAATTGAAAACTCAAATATCTTTTGTAGTTTGAAAATATTTACAGGGCATGTGGTAGTCGAGCATTTAGTGTGTGTGTGTGTGTGTGAGTGTTGTGGTTGCTGTTGTTGTCGTTGTTGCTTGTTAACTGTCATGTTAATTCCTTCGTAATACGCGTGTTCATTATGTTAAACACTTAACTTAACGAGATGTCTGTGTGTGTGTGCCTGTGTGTGCGTGTGTGTGTGCCTGTGTGTGTGTGTGTGCGTGTGTATAAGTGATGCTCTGCAAACAATACATAGACAAAAGTGTGCTACACACTAATTAGTATTGTATGCGATTCATAATGATAACAGAAATGAAAACACACACGTTTGTCTGTGTGTGTGTGAGTGAAGCTGTAGCTGATGGCAAGATGGAGACAGAGTGACAGAGACAGAGACAGAGAGAGAGAGAGAGAGAGAGGGGGGGAATGGATTGCTGTGCTTGTTGAGTTTGTTGGCAGCTTTTGGCAGTTGGTTTTGTTGTTGGCGTTTTTTAGTTGTTATGCATATGATTGCCTGTGCTTTTGACTGTCGCTGCCGCGTTGTCTTCACTGTGGCACGTCTACGCCCTGCGCCTGTGGCGCTTTCTAATGCCCAAGTGTTGCTTGCCAGGCACACACACACACACACCCACATCTGGCAATTATTTACACACCAACACACACACACATAGAGACAGTCATCTTCTTCGTCGTCGTCGCAGCATTTGATCCTCGCAGGATGCCTTGTCATGTTTTCATTATGCTCATGTGTCTAAACAATTATCCTGCAGGCATAATTATGTTTGACGTTTATAAGCTTTGACACTTTCGGTTTTCGCCAACATGTCTAACACACACACACACACACACACACACACACACACACACACACACAGACACACACTCGCATGAAAATGCTTCTCGGAATGCTGTCGCAAGTCTGTAAAATGTGCGCTTATTGAAATGATTACAACTAATTATCTTTTCTTGATATACATGCATGTGTTTCTCTGTGTGTGTGTGTGTGTGTGTGTGTGTGAATTTATATATATGGAATACTTACAGGCATAAGAATCGAGCGCCTACCCCTCCTCACAAAGCTCCCCTTGCCCATTGCCCAGCCTTGAGTTGAAAAATTACGGGGCCTGGCCGAAACTTATTTTGGCGTAAAATTGAAAAATTCTTTGGGTAGAAGGAATTAAGTACAAGCGGAATTCTTTTTTTTTCTTCTCTCGTTGATATACGCTTGCAGCGGGTATTGTGAATATGCCATGAAACCGCCTAATAAATTGAACTCCCCGTTTATGTTTAGAATTTAACTTTCATTGATTTTATGTAGTGAATCAAAAACATTTTTGACTGAATGGAACTTCAGAATTATTGATAGTTTTGGGGGCTAACTACAACATTAACGGTTTTCATTAGAATCGAATACGATTTTAGAGTGAATTGAGCACTTGCAATGCATCCAATATTCGTTTTAGAGTATTCAAACTTCTGTTGAATTTTCTGCTCGCTTTTTTTTTTCTCGCTTGTTTCGAGTTCTTTGTCTTTGCTGCTGGCTTCTTTTTTGGGTGCTGGGCTGCTGGCTCATCCTGTCGCCCCCCCAACCCCCCAACCCACACCAGTTCACTTCTTCCTCATGCTGCTGGCTTTATTTTATTATGCAAGAAACAAAAGTTTCATTTGTTTGTAACGCTTCTCGTTCAGCAGGAACCATCAATCATTCGCCGTGTTGTGCGACGTCTTTCAGGACGACAACCAGCACTAAGAATGGAGGGGAAGAGAGAGGGGGGGCGGATGGGAGCTAGGCATGTGGGTGGCTGTGAAAAGCAAAAAAATGTTTCATTTTCACACACTAAACAAATTGCAAGCGAGTGGGGCAAAACGGGGGGCGCTGTGTGGAGTAGGGTTGGGGTTAGTCATCCTTCTGCCTGCCACTTGCCACGTGCTGCCTGCCACGTGCTGCTGCTGCGTGTCGCTTGCTGCTTTCTGCTTGCTGCTTGCTGCTTGCTGCGTTCGGTGTCTTGAGTGTCCTGTGCCGCATTCCTTTCATCTGCCTCTTGCTGCTCTGACAAATAGTTTCGCCGTAATATGTTGCAACTCTTTCTGTGCCTTTCTGTGCCCTCTTGCCGTGGGGCAGATCAGCAGCCACTTGCAACTTGAGTTCACACGAATCGGATGTACTCTGCGTGGCATGATATGGACTCAATTGCGATATCAGCAAACAAACACTTCTCGCTCTTCACTTGCCCATGCTGCTGTCGAACTTAACTAGCAGTTTCAATTTTCCTTTGGTTTTCCCTGCTGGCCGATGGCAACCCTGCAAAGCTAATACTTAACATGCCACAACGC